GGGGGCGTGATGGGGGTGGATAAAATTGTCTGCTGCTTCCTGGGAGGAGTTGAGAGGAAGTCACTATGCTCATTGCTGATAATAATAATCCTTGCATTTGATACGGCGCCTTATCGCGCTTTTGAGACGTCTCAAAGCGCTTCACAGGATATACCGTAAAGTGTAGTGACTGTGGATTTGTGGGTGAAACGTGGCAGGGCTAGGAAACAAAGTGGAAATCTGGGGGAAATCTTTCTCCACCCTCCCACCCTCCCACCCCACACACCTCCTTAAGCTAAAGCTACGTTAAAAATAACCATGTACAATCGATTGGCAAGATTTTTTGTGGGTGGGGGAGGTAGCCAGGTGTGCGTGTGGGGGGGGGGCTGATTTAATCTCTGACGTGTGATTCAGATTAGCAAAAACACACACGTGTCTGCTAACATGACACATGATTTGCAAACCGGTTCCCCTGGAGCAAAGCTGCTGTAACCTTTTGCAATTTTTTTTTTACCTTAAATGATCTTGGGCGACTCCCAAGTGCCACGTGGCTTTGCACTCGAATCTAATTTGCGCTGCTTATTGTCTCCAGCAACTATTTAAATAGACGCCCTTCACCACAGCATTCCTTGTTGCTCAGCGCCAATCTTCTCTGTGTGGTGCTGTACAGCCTTCTGCCAAGTCCAGTGACTGTGTATTTTGAATACAGCGGCTGATGTGCGCACAGCAACGTCCCAAAGAAGTGAGCGACTAGTTTTCCCCGCCCGGAACGCCGGGAGAATCTCTGTTCGCTTTCTGAAAACATCACTCCATCTTAACGTCCGCCTGAACAGGCAGACGGGACCTCAGTCAAAGTACCTCGGGACGTCCTCCCGACCTGAAAGGCGCTGTATAAATGCAATTTGTTGTTATTTTTTGTTGTCTCATCCAAAGGACAACACCTCCGCTGATATAATTCCCCCTCCCCCACTGCCCAGCACTGCAATAAAGCATCAGCTGGGACTGTTGAGTTTAAAGTCCCAACGTGAGGACTTGAACACACAACCTTTAGACTTGAGGCAAGAGCGCACGAGAGCGGGGCTTGGAGTTTAACTGTGTGTTGAAATCCTCGCTCTCCACTTCCTAATGTTAAGCACCTCGTTTGGAATCGCATCCACTTGACCTCTGTCAGGCTTCTGTGAGTGTAATGCGGAGTCTGATGGAAGGATGGCTGGCTTGATTAGAATTGATGCGGTATAGTCCTGTATTATTACACTGAGCAAAATGAAATCTGGCCTTCAACCCGGTCATACAAAGGACCATTCATTCGCTGATTACGACCACACCTCCTATCAAGTCTATTCCATTATCCATCAAAAGCTGTTTATTGGCACCAGTCCTCACTTAGACGGCAGCTTTCACTTGTAAAACACGAACCTTTATTAAACCGAGTTAATTTCCTTGGCCTTTTGAGGGAGATTTCAACTCCGAGGCAGTTCTACGTGGAGATTGAACGCATAGTTACTACACTCGATAGCTGTTCTCTGAGGCTGTTGTTGACTGCAGATCCTAGAGTCGGGACGGTTTGGATGTGGTTGACGCTGTAAGGATATAAGGATGCTCATTGTTCTGTACTTTGCAGAGTGCTAAGTGGAGGGAGACAGAAACCTGTCTGTGTCAATTAGAGTCCAGTCTCTGGTTAGCTGACCTCGTGTGTGTGTGTGTGTGTGTGTGTATGTGGGACTTGGCGAAATCAGCCAGAATCCTGTAATCAGGTGCATGTCAATCTCCCTAGCGTAACCCTTTCTTTACCTTCCCCCAAACCCCCCTCCAACCCCTCCACTGTCCTGGTGGTGTATTTACAATCTGCCCAGAACCAGGCACTCTTGCGTTACCATCTCGCTCGGCAACCGGTTTACTGCAGATCATCTCGCCCTCGGCGCAAGGGAACTTGCGTTATTATTTTGGAGATTTATACGCGTAAAAAAAAAGGGGGCCTTGATCTCCCTTTGTGCTAAATGCCACCTTGGCTTAGAGCCGAAGCCGCTGGAGGCAGGTAACTGGGTCTCCTGCCGCTTCCGATTATCAAAATGCTGTCTTGTCAGCATTCTTCATTGACCCCCACCCCCCACCCCCCCATCAGGGGGTTTAACTCGACCTCTCGTGCTGTGGCTATAGAGACGTCTTCCAACAGGATTCCGTTGGGATCCTTAAGAACTCTTCCTGTTCATTATAAGCTACTCTCCAGCCCTGTTACCAAACTACCCCCCCCCCACCCCGCACCCTTCTAATTCTCTTCCAGCTCCTTGTTTTTTTCTCTCTTCCCCTCCCCCGAGAGAGAGAGAGAGCGCATTCCATTCCAATAATCCATCTGTGGATTTTCCGTGTGTAGGTGAGAGGTGTGGAATTCTCTTGGTTTCGATACTCTTAAGTGCGTTGATGGGTTTCCGTATGTGTCAGACACTCAACTGACCCCCAAAAAAGTCCTTCAAATGCCTCTGCGCCCTTCTCTACACCTCTGAGGGAGATGGGGCCAATTTTTGTTGACTGGCTTCCTCAATTTCCCCCCCACCCCTTTTGCCCTAACTTTGCTCAAAGTGTGGTGCGCTGATGAGGACATTTCCCTCCCCCAACGCCCCAGGTCACGCGCTGAACAGCACGACAAAGTCTCGGTATCAGTCTGGAATTTGACTCCGCACAAAATCCGTGCAAGTTGCGACCTGTTGCATTTCCTCGGCCGCACTCGCAGCAACAATTGGCTGGTTCAGACCTCCCATAGGCAGCGCAGACTACTTGTTCGCCTGTCATTAAATAATAATAATAATAATCCTTGCATCTCTGAAGACCGCCCAGTCCCAGAGGAATTCATTATAAGAGCAATTTCATGTTGAAACTTACATTCCTTACCACGTCTTAAAGCGTGCTTCATTTAAAGTGTTCGGAGGACCAAATTCCCCTTAGCCTCAGCCTGAGAAACTTTGTGGTTTCCCCCCCCCGCCCGCATCAATTTAGATGGCTCAGATTTCCAGAAAATTCCTCAACGCAGTCTTAAATTTTGCCCACAAAATTCAGTATATCCGATGAAGCGCTTTGAGACGTCTCAATAACGATGATGAGGCCACTACGTGAAACGCGAGTGTTATTATTGAACTTGGAAGCGGTTTCAGTTTTTCAAATTGAGGCTAAACTCAAGAATTTCCACGCAATTCGGTCCCACTCGGAAAAAGCAAAACAAAACCAAAGTTTTAAAGGCCGAACGGGTTTGGAATCTGGGGCCCACACCATTTATCGTGTCGTTGAGAGATTTCTTTTTTTTTCCCTCCCTTAAAAAAAAATGTAAACGTCTTACAAAGGGAACTGGCTGAGAAGGTTTTGAAGAATGTTCGGCGGCGAGTGGGCGAGGCAATTAGCAAGAACTTGCATTGATTTGCCGGTGCAGCTCGATAATGAAGTGGGCAGACTCCAGCGTGTGTGTGTCTTTTTTTTCGACTTCCTATTATCTACTTGTTTCAGTTCTTTAGCTGTCAGGTTAGCGAGCTTTCAACTTGAGAACATTCCTGAAGCCTTGAACCTGTCTTGGGAACCTGTTTCTTTCTGCTCTCCGCCACCGTCGAAAGAAGCTCATTCCATTCATCCATTTGCTTCACGCAGACCTGCAGCTGAAATCCCAATTTTTTTTCTCTACAAAAACATATAAAAAAGACTTAAAACCCAACTCATTTCTCCGATCAATAAAGTAATTTTCCTGTCAAATTAGTTAGGAGAGGTGAGGGGCGGGGGGGGGAAACTAAACTGGTCGGCTCACTTTTCATTAGCAGTCCAGTAATTATACCCGAGAGTGGTGATATTGATTGATATTAAAAATGTAAATGGCCTTTTAATTGTTCCCCGTGGGAGGGGGATAGGTGAGGAATTTTTTTGTTAAACATTTTTGTTAAACAGTCGGGTGTGAAAGACTTGCCTGCGCACAGCGCCCCATCCTGTTATTGTAATTATAATTTTTTTTAAAAAGGGATTTTTTTCCGCCTGGAAAGCGATCCGCCAATCGACTCTCAACCGGTTTCCTACGTACTGCCAGGTACACAGAGGCATGTGGAGTAAGGAAACTAGGCTAAGGTTTCAACCTGCCTAGGAATTGAACTTGCGAGGCGAATGGACTAACCACTATGCTATGAGAGTGTTGGAGGTTAAAAAGGTTTGGAGAGAGGTCCTGTCAGGTGAGGGTGTGGAAGGCGATGGTGCTGTGTATTCCCCCGACCTCTCTCTGTGATCCTGTGCACTGTGATTTTTTTGCCCCAGTTCACCTCCGAAAGAGCGGGATACGAGAGGGGAGTCCGTAATTCCTACCTGGTTCCACGGAGAGTTGACTGATACAGAATCAAACCGCCTGTCTTCTCACATCGCTAGAGTAAAAGATTGCATAGAATCTACAGGACTGACCAGGCCATTTGGCCCAACTGGTCCATGCTGGACACTGGCAAAGACTTCACCCTTCTTAATCGCCTATTCTCTCTGTTCCTTTGCAGGATGAGTCTTTCACTGTGTAACTTTACTCAAATTCATTTTTCTGCCGTTGTATATTGGGAATATTGTAAAACCGGGGGAGATGTAAAGCTTCCATAGTCTCTCTTTCTATTGTAGACGGACTCTCTTCTATCATTATTCTTGTTGTTTCTTTACTAGATATTGCAATTACATGGTTTTTTTTTACAAACGTATCATCAAAGTGCAACTCTGCTGTGTCTCCCGAGATTCTGTCTCTTGTCTATAAGATTTAATGGATTTAATGTCGCAGATGAGCAGTGCGCCGGTTTTAAGTTCCTTTGGCTGTAATAAGAAGCCTTCTGTGCGATACAGCGTCTTTCAGGTCGGGAGGGAGTCTCAAAGCCACTTCCCAGGATTTTACTGTGAAGTGTAGTGACTGTGTTTTGTAGTAAAACCACGCCTTTCTCTTTCTCTCCAACCCCGCCCGCCCCCCACTCCCCCCCCAAAAAAACCGCCCCCCAGTCCGGCTCTTGGTAAAACTCACCGAAACCATGTTTTGTGTTCTATGTTACAGGGAGGACATTCAGTGAAGACTCGGAGTCCACATCTATGTCGATATTTGACAGTAAGTCGCTACACTGACTGTAAAGTCGTTTTCTAGTAAATTACATCAGTTCTCTCTCTCCCTCTCTCTCTTTCCCTCTCTCTCCCTCGTTTGCGTTCTTGTTTTTTTGGGCTTAAACGTTGTTATTTTAAAAAAAAAACGCTTATTGCTGCGAACGGGACAGGTGGAAAGAAGCACGTGAGCTGTTTTCCATCTGTCTGGGTGACCCAGAAGGAATGCTGCAGTAACAAACACTTGGCTCAGTTTAACACTGTTAATGTTTTACATTCCCGTGTGGTAATGATTGGCCGTATGTACGTGTATGTGCGCGTGTTTTATTATGTGTGGGTCGTGTCCCTTTAACATCCCGTCGAGGGATGTGTGTTAGGGAGAGGTGGGAAAGAGAGAGAGCACGAAAACACCCGATAACTCGTCACTCCCAAGAGAATCCTAAAGTTAATTCCCTTTACAGTATATTCTGTGAAGCGCTTTGAGACATCTCGAAGACGTGATAAGGAGCCGCATCAACTGCAAGGATTATTACAAGAGGGCCCACAGTGGCAAGTTATCTGGAGGGGCGAGTTAGGCACAAGGATTAAAGAGGTGCGGACGGGATATTGAGTGGTGGGATGACTTAAGTGGCAGTGACAAGTTAAGCTGGAGTCGAGACCTGAGTCTACTGTGTATTGGCTTTGAGCGCTGACACCTCCGCAGTGTCGGGGCGCGTGTTTGCACGGATCAATCCGTGTGCTGAGGTATGGAATGTCGCGGAGAGATGGAAGAGGGCAACTTGGGGAAAGTCAACGCTGCTCCGCAGGTCAAGGGAGGGGTGGGGGGGTATATCTGGAAGGTTCAGTGTTGATATCTCCTGGACTTTCTCCCCCATCTCCCCCCCCCCCACACACACACACACACACACCCACACCCCCCCAACACACCCTGTATTTTAACAGTTCCATCCTACAGCCCAAATCACACACCCTCTCTCGCTTTCTCCCTAATCCTCCTCGTCTCAAGACGAGCAACACTTCCACGGCTTAATGTCTTCTCTGCTGCTTTTTCATCGATTTCCTTTTTTTAAAAAAAAAAATCCTTAATTTTACTCTCTGCATAAACAGATCATTCGGCCTCTAATGAAAGCCGTAGCTGCTTCCCACAGGATTCCTGGGAATGAGATGATTTCTCTTAATGCTTACAAATATCTCGGTTCATTAGAGAACTAAAAAGAGAGGAAGGGGGTGGATGGGGTGGGGGAGAGAGAGAGAGAAAGAGAGAGAGGGATATTGAAGGAGAAAAGAGAGGGGGTGTGGGTGGGAGTTGATCTCCTTAACTGGAAGGTTAGACTCACAGACACTCTGGTTATGTTCCTTACCTGCCTCGTCTCACGTCGCCTCTTTGAACAGCAAAGAATCTTTTTTTGTATGTGTGTGAAGTAGAACGCAGCTCTAAACTTTAATATTTGAGATATGTTGGCGGGGTGGGGGGGGGGGGGGGGGTGATTGATTGGTTGGTTCGTTGGCTACCATCCTTGGTAGTCCAGTTCCAGCTGTTATTTTACTGCTCTGTGAACCCAGGGGAGGCGGGAAATAGAGACCCGATAATGCCAAGAATTCCCACCCCCACCCCCCGCACACTGCGTCATTCCCGCAGCCCTGCTCAAGCACAGTCCGAGCCTCTGTTTACCGAGCCCTCACCCACCCCACCATTGCCTGTGCGAGCTTCAGTCTTTAAAAATCCACAATCATTCCTTTCAAGTGACCCCGGAGGAGTTGTTACATGTTTCTTGTGATAAATTATAGATTCAAGAAATGTAAAGGCTTGTCAAAGACTCCCCTCTAACCCTTCGCTCTCTCTCCTATTTTTTGGAACGTTTCTAAGCTTTCAAACCAGCAGCTTGTTTGATTTTATATTTATATATACAGTATTATATTTTTTATATATATATTTATATATATCCCCGACTGTTTGTGGGATACTGCAGTGCGCAATTGGCTGCCGTATTGCGCCCACAAAATAGTCGTTTTTCTTTACGGTGTATCCTGTGAAGCGCTTTGAGACGTCTCAACGACGTGATAAGGTGCTGTATCGACTGCAAGGATGATGATTATTATTATTATTATTAACTGGAGTCTAAAATACAAGGGTTTCTAAAGGGATTTCTTAATAAGGAAACCAGAATTGCCTCACGCCACCCCGTCTGCCTGTTGATGTGACGTGTGGATGTTCTTCACTGCAATTCACAGTCACTACACTTGACAGCAATTAGCTGTGAAGGGCTTTGAGATGACGTGACTTCACAGGGGAAGCTATCAAACGTGAGAATTATTATTTTTACGGTAATTCCCTGTTTTGGTTACTGTTACCAGAAGGAGCCCCTGACTCAAGTTCCTGGGATGAAGGAATCTTGTTAGAAACCACAGCCTATTTACAGGCCAATCGCTCAGTTAGTGAGGCATCGGGTTAGTGTGATTTAGCAGGTAGCTCACACTTATTAAATGTTATAGTTTGGTTGTTATTATCGCTGATTAATGGGTCACCGAGTTACACAATGTCAAGATGTTGTCCAGTTTACGCAGTGCACTCACCCACCAGGAACAATTTTACTGCAGGAGGGCACAGAGGAACGTTTAACAAAATGATTACGATCCTTGCGTTTGCAACCGCGCCTCATCATGTCATTGAGCTGCCTCAAAGCGCTTCACAGGATTTAAGGTGAAGTGACTGTGTATTTACAGGCAGACGTGGCAGCTCATTTGCACATGTCACCATCCCACAAACAGCCGTGAGGAGAATGACTGATTTTTATCTGGCTTGTTGGCCAGGGAGAGAGAAAACTCCCTCCTCTTTTCCTATAGTGCCACGGGATCTTTAACGTTCAACCCCCAACAGGGCATAGATTAATCTCGGATTAATGTCTCATCCAAAGGACGGCACCTGCTAGCACTAAAGTGTCAGCCTGCACTGTGAGCTCAAAATCCCGACCTGCAACTCAAACCCATAACCTTCTGACTTGGAAAGGGCACGACCGACTGAGGAAGAGTGACACCAAATTTGCAGCAAATGAAGGGATATTAACAATTTATTCTGATCAGCCAGATGTCTAAGCCATGTGGAAGCCCATCACTGTGCTGAAGAGCATCCAAACCAGACTGGGAGTCCCATGTTTGCCAACTACACATGGAAATGTCCCCGTGTCTGTCTGGAATGGAATATTTTTTTTCTCTCTCTCGTCTCTCCCTTTCCCCTACCTCCAGCCTGGAGAGACGCATCCCGCTTGCCTAATTCTGGAGGGCGTTGGGAATGAGTTGGCAAGAGCTAAGGCTTGGGGTGGAGCTCAGAGTGTGTGCTGGTGAAGGGTGCGGTCTGGGGGAGAAACTGCTGGAATCTATTAAGCAGTTTTTTTTAAAAAAAGGGCAACTTGAAATCCGGGTACCAGCTGCCAAACCTCCTGCTCGCTGCCAAGAACTTTTGTTTTAACTCCGCTCCTTTTTTTTTTTGTAACGATTTTTGAAAAAAAAGCTTATTTTATCCGGGGTGGAATTTTCCAATCCATTCGTTCATTCCACTTTTCGTTTGATCTGGGCCATTAGCTATTTTCAAACGGCCCCAGATGGAGCTGGTCCAGGGATCTTGCGTGCGTTCTGATCGACTGGATGTCTTGACGCGTGCAGAGACCCGTCGCCGTGCTGAAGGGCATCCAAACCGGACAGGAGTTCCACATATGTACGTCACCTTCACGTGGACATTTCCCCGCGGTTAGCATCGAACGCGCTCTCTCTCTCTCTCTCTCTTAATGCTGGTTAGACTCCAGCAGAGAGGGTTGGGGAAGACGGTGTCAAGCGACCGAGTGCCCGGTGTAAGTGCAAGCTGTCGTTGCGTCTTGGAAGAGTCTGGGTCCAAAGTTTGAACCGGATAGAGAGAGAGCGAGAGAGAGAGGGGGGGTGGGGTGGGGAGAAGTCGTCTATCTTTGGGGGAGGGGGAAAAAAAAGGGGCTGGAGAATTCTCTCCCTCTTCATCCCTCCTGCGCTGCGACTACAACAAAAGCATTCCATACCCTACCCTCAGGTTTGTTAATTGCAGACAATTATTGGCGCAGTAACCAAGGTAACCTCTTGAGCTGCTGCCCAGAGAGAGAGAGACGCAGATGCAGTTTGCTAACCGCAGCCCATGTCCATTATTGCAGCAGCCACAGGGGAGCTTTACAGCCACCTTACCCCCCCCCCCAACCCCACCAACCCCCTTCCCCCACCACTTCCTGGAGCTCTCGCCCCCAAATAACTCCCCACCTCGCATGCAAGTTCCTCCCCCCCCCCCCCCACACCAACCCACTTTCAAAACCGGTCTTGAAAATGACCTCTTTGACGGCACTTTCAGTCGTTTTTTTTTTACATTTAGTCCCTCCTCTCGACTCCCGCTCTGATCAGCCTCTCGCTCAATCTCTGCACAGTGTTGTTTGAGACGTTTAACCCCATGGCTGGTCACTGGCTGAGCGCTTGTTCTGCGGGTGTTATTTTAGATACCTCATGAAACCCTCCAGCACCGCTCTTTCCCTTCTCTCTTCCACGCCCTCCCACCAACACACTTTTCTTTTTCTTTCTCTCTCTTTCTCTCACACGCGCACCCCCTCCTTGTTCCTTATCGCTTCCCAGTCGAACTCTTTCAATTCTCTTGGCGTTCCCTGCGTTTTGTTCCAGCCCAGCGACTTCAACTGGAAATTCCTATTGTCCGGAGAGTTTGGGGAGTGCACTCCAGGTGACAGTTTATTGGTGCATTTCCCAGAACAGTAAAAATTCCCCGAACAAATCGTGTTTTCCCTTGTAATCAAGCATCGCTCCCGGTGTCACAGCTGTTTACAGAATGTTGCTGTGCGCAAGTTGTCTGCTGCATTCGCCCACAAAACCACAGTCACTCGGACCTCACAGTAAATGGCTTTGAGATGTCGTCCTGACATGATGTGAGGGGCATATCGTGCCAAATGTAAGGATTGTTTATTGCTGCAATAACCGGGTGAAAGACGTGAA